AGGATATTTGCATGATACCATCATTTCATGGAAGAAAAGCCAGAGAAAAAAGTACCATGGTTTGGTAGGTAGTCAGTCTATAAATCCTTGTAAATATAAATGTACTGAAAAGCTACCAGAAATGTACACCATTGTGAGACAAAACAGGTTCAATTTCTAGAGAGACAAGTAGTTTCCTTATCTTTACATAACTATTTTATTTGATAGGTAGCTGAAGAGCACCCAAATGCCCACAAAATAAGAACATTGCATCTATTTGAATCAATTATCAGCAATAGAAAAGGAAAACAATTTTTAGCAATTTCCCCACCATCGCCACAGTAGCCTCCAGAACTTCTTTCTATATTTTCTCCAGTCTTCCAGATTAAACTAGGGGTTGATGGGGATTTACAAAAACTTGCCACTCTCCCTGTGCTACATCAAAGTCTATATCAAAGAACATTTTATACCAGTTGGATGCAACCCAACTTTTGTAGAAGACATACCTGGCTGCATGAGAAGCTCTAAACAAAGACCATATCTACACAACCTATTTAAACTGCTTGGATATGTATTTCCTTTCCCTAATGAACTTAGAAGCATCATTCTGTTCTAGACACCTCCATGCCCCCCACTGACTTTCTAAACAATAATCTCCATGGTTCATTGAGAAAAGCCATGGCCTTTCAATTAGTGCAAAATTGATGTGAGTTTCTAATGGAAATATGATCAAAGATCACAAAGAAAAACACGAAGTGAGTAAATTTAAACTTTTTCGGGTGCCATATGAATTATTTCTCAACCAAGTTCACTGCCATTAGGTCATTTTGTTGTGTATCCATCATAAAGGGGTCACCCAGAGCAAACAACCACAAGCAAAATAGAAGGGAAACAAAAAGGATGAAAGTGTACACTTTAAACAATTGTCTTGGCATTTCAATATTTTACAGTGAACATTTCAATTTTCAGCTCTATTAGTTTTGACACGCACTTGTCACCTATCATTATCAAACTCTTTCTCTTTTCCATTTTGAATGTGACAATGGCTTCCAGCTCTCCGAAATATCTATTTCTTTTAAATTCCTGCATAATTACCTTGTGAAGTCTGTCATCTCCATCATAATCACACACATCCGTTTAGCAAGAACGATGATGTCATTGCTGGTGTCATCCCATATTTCAATCTCCTTATCGAGCTCACTCTTGACTTTCTTAAAATCAGCCACTTGTTCAGCTATCTTTTCTTTCTCAGCCTCCGGCAACTGAGTCATCTTTGCCTGCAAAATCAAGATAATTTGATCTGCAAAACATCTGCCTATGTCAGAGGACATCTTCCTTTTATGGATGCAAATGGACTTTAACAAATTATTGCTCCAAATAAGATGCTACTGTGAAACAGCTGAGATCCACAAATCTTTGGGCCAAATCTTTGTAAGATGGCTGATCTTTATTAGATATGGACCAAACATCACAGCTGCAGGGAATACATAGTTCTATGCACAAATAAGCCCCTCTTCCTCCAGTGTTTATTTTAATTTGATGGGCTACCCAACATCAGGGATAGAAGACAGTTTGTACTACAACTACTTCCCTAAGTGTAGCATTGTGCTTTTCCCTACAGCAAGAGAAAGCAAGTTCTATATAGCAAGTAAAGGGGTATAGAGGAATAGACCACAGCACTGAGAGAGACATCCTTATGCTGATTTTAACTTGCTTTTCTTTCTTCCTAATCTGACCATCCTGTCCACCAAATACAACTTGCTGGTGCAATTGTACAATGTGGCAGTTAGACTGCTAATAAGGTATGGTAATAATATTTAAAGATTTAAATGACCACTAGATGGCAGCAAAGACCATCTCTTCACTGCCATCTAGTGGTCATTCAGACTTCCCCCCTCAGATATGGTAGTCCTAACTGAGGACTTGATTATCTGAAATACTACATCTCCCCAGATGTGCTTGTCAGCCATTAAAATCAGCAGGAAAAGCCCTTTCGAAGGTGCTCCCATTTTCTGCTTATCAAGTAAATATGAGAGGGCCTTCAGCTTATCACTCCAAGTTTGGAATGCGTTTACTCTTTAGAGGAGAAGTTAGGACATTTCAGGTAACCCTTTAAGTGTGAATGGCTTGAACAGTATTGATATATCTTAAAACAATTTGAATTGCTTTTCTAAAAATATTTTTAATTCACTTCTGAATTCTATAGTTTCACATTTGTTAGGTATCTTGAGCATCAGAGAAACCACTGAAATACCTAGCTAACAGCAGAAGACAACGCAGAATGTCTAAAATATCAAGCCAAGCTGAAAATACATCAAGACAGATGCACTAAATACCTGAGGCTGCTGCTGAAATCTCATGATCATCTTAAATGAGGTTGAACTGAATTCACAAATGGCAGGTGGTAAGGGATACAACCTCCTCACCTCTTCCCTTTCTGTGAGTGGCAGACTGGAAAGCAAAGCCAGCTGAGAGAAAGCAGCGAAGGCAACCATTTTTTAGTAAAAAAACCAGGTCTCCATAACCATTGCCAAGGCAATATTGCCATCAAGGAGAACATTAATCAAAGGATCAACTTTATTCACTGATGCCTAAGCATTCTGCAAGATACAGGTACCCACAGGGTGCAGATTAGACAACCATGCTCCTTGTAAGGCACTGGGTAGCTTACAATGCCTCTCTATCCCACACTGCATGGATGAGGTGAGGACAGGAATAGGTTGAGGAAGAGTAACCATCCATGGCCTACACTCCTTACCACTAGGAAATTGATGGCTATTTTGATAATAGGCAGAATGAATAGAAATATGCACTGGGATTGGTACGCAATGCAAATTGTTAGGGGCTATCAGGTCAGTAGGTAGACCAGACCGGGACATCAACTCCACAGGAAAGTTAAAACTATTTTTATTGAGATTGACTATAATAAAAAAATCTTGCCAATCTGGTTGGGCTGTAACTCCAGTGAATTAGGGAGGTGTCTACCTGAGCCACTTCCAAATGTTATCTAGTTGCTCTGGACTTTAAAAATGTTTCACCCTCTTTTGCCTAAGTTCTTGCATATGTCCATCAAGGTCATTTCCTTACTCACTACAAGGGCTAGATTGAACTCACCAAGTGAAAAAAAAGATGGCTGAGAACTGAATTTCCCCAGACCAGTAACTATTACACAAACAGGTAATCCTTCTATTACAAATATTTTGGAAAATTGAGTAAGATAGAGAATGTATAGATTTGCTAATCTATGCCAGCTAGAAACCCTAATCTAGGGACTATCTCACTAGGCAACATAATGTTGCCCACATTCTTCCAACTAGGAGGTACATACAGTGTGTACAATACTGTGACAGTACACACAGAGCTGCTGTAATGTAGTGGTTAAGGTGTTGGACTAGGACAGGGAAGATTCTCAACCATACAATCTAACTTAGTAATGTTGGACCAGATACTCTTTCTGTATTCTGAGGTGACCAGTTCAAATTATCCTACTTTGGACACATTATGCAGAAATCCAGCTCTCTGGAAAAGGCTCTAATTCTGGGAAAGGTGGAGGGAAAGAGAAGAGGACGACCAGCAGCAAGGTGGATGGACTCAGTTACAGTGGCAATGAGGGCACCACTGGAAGAGCAGAAGGACCAGGTTAGGGACAGATCGTCATGGAAAAAATCTATCTATGTGGTCATTAAAAGTCAACACCAACTTTATGGCACATGACCAATCAATCAATCAATCAATCACCCTGGCTTGCGTAGCATGAGTACAATTGGACTTGGAGTACAATTGGACTTCAATTGCACTTGTGGCATAATGAGCTCTTAGTTTTGTTTTTGGCTACTATTTTATTATCTCCCCACAAGCCCTGAAATGTGGAAGGCTGAAGACATATTCTAAAACCATTTTAGAAGAGTGAAATATACTCCTTCCTTTATAGGAGGAAACTACTCCATATGGAGAGACGGGGGGGGGGGGGGGGGGGGGGGGGGGGGGGGGGGGGGGGGGGGGGGGGGGGGGGGGGGGGGGGGGGGGGGGGGGGGGGGGGGGGGGGGGGGGGGGGGGGGGGGGGGGGGGGGGGGGGGGGGGGGGGGGGGGGGGGGGGGGGGGGGGGGGGGGGGGGGGGGGGGGGGGGGCAGTAGGAGCTGGATCCACAACCTTTTCATTCTATTGCCAAGCAGGAATAACTTTTATGAAGACACATTCAGGTTGTTCCCCAAGGCATGACATATGAATATCCTACTCAGTCATTTTTAAGGTCCATGTTCAATTCTTCCTTCTAGTTATGCTTTAATTTCCAGGAATTGCCTGGAAGCTTCTTTTTAATGATCACCATCCTCTTTGCAGCTGTCAAGGATTATACCATCTGCCTTGCCAAAAGGCGATCAGAATGAATTGCTCTGAAATTGCAATGGAAGTGTTCAAAATTTTAAAATAATAAAATCCCAATGTCTGACATGTTCAGAAAGAAGATGGTAGCTTGAAGTTATAAAAATTCAGTTGTTCAGTTTACCACCAAAGAGCAAGCTCATCACAGTCTGGAATTGAAAAGAAAAACAGCAAGACTTTATCTCATTCTCATTACTAAGTTTACTAGAGACAAGGAGTAACTAGCTTTTTCCTAGTAGTATCCTAAGTGCACCACAGCAAGTAAGACCTAGAACCAGCCAAGTATCAGGGCTGGTGGGTTCAACGTGCTCAGGGATGGCTTTCTACAGTGGAAGAGGTCACCTCTCCTTCCACGTGACTCTCTGGGCAATGGGCAGTGCCCCATCTCATGCTTAGTTCCCCGTGCTTCTGAGTGTTCACTGGTGGCAAGTTTTGCCACCTCCCTTAACAATTTTAAACATGTTGCCTGCCATTTCCCATCAAAGGCCAAGCACAGCAGGACCCCATTCTAAAATAATATTAATAACCAGTTCTCTGCAAATGGACCTACCTGATTAGGTAACACTTCTGTGTCCTGTGCAGTAAGTGTTTCAATAGACTTGGAACAACAGCATGTCCATCCCTCTTCTGCTCTGTGCTATTACAACCTTGTCTTGAAGGGTTGGAGACTTTCACAAAAGGACATGGGTATGGTTCAAAAGACAGCAGGAGGGGAAATTTGTAAAAACTTAGATAGGAACTTGAGCAAGTTGAAGTTCTTCCCCAGACCACATCTCAGGTCTCTTTTGAGGCTTTCTAGGAACCAAAAGCAATTTAGGTGGAGAAGGCAGAGTTTAACCTATTTATAGATTTAGGTCCAATAATGCTGCTCTAATTTAAACATTATTATTTCCTTCATACAATTTGCATCTTATTGTTTCTTGTGTTTCTAATGTTTTCTTTCCATGTCCCTTGGACTATAATAAAATATCTACCTACCTACGTATCTAACAGGCAGTGGATGCCTATTAATACTGCAACGGGAGGCAAAAACACTCGCAGACCACCAGCGCTAGTTAAAAATGCATTAAAATATGCTTTCCTTGGTTAATTAGCGGATTCATCTGAACACAGTTTCATTTTTATTTTAAAGGATCATGTTTATGAAACTGCTTTCTTTGGTCTTGCTACTATGTCCAATGTTTGCCCTTTTAAGTACAATACTTTGTTGGCAGAATTGACCCAGAATTACAAGCTGCATAAAATTTCCTGGTAAAAACCAGAAGGAGTCCACTGGCCTTGTGATGGAAAGCCTAACAAACTTCAGGAACAGAGAGGGAGCAACAACAGAGTTAAGGGCAGAAATAGGACCATTGCAGAAGACATTCTTGAGTCCAGGTAGGGGAGAAGCATGAGACAGAGATTCAAAGCAAGTCAGCCTTCATTACACTTAGTATAAGCTGGGCAAGAGAATTACTTGGGCAGGATTTCAAAATATTGTCGCATTATCCTACTAGCAAGAAATATCTTTTCGGAAATCCAAGTGGCTCTTGTTTCCTGAGTTTGCCAGCCTTTTAGGACTTGACTTTAATCTTGAAAACCTCCTTACTCTCCCATCAGAAAGGCATCAGATCCTGCATTCTGGATCTGCACGTGGCTTCTGATCCTCAAAGTTCCCCACTGTTGGCAGGACAAGTGGCAGATGGGAGCAGAGAGAGACAGAGATAATGAATTTGCACAGTACCATGATGCCATTAACTTTCAAGATGGATCTCAGCTCTTCAAGGTAGGCCAGGTCTAGACATAGGCATGGCAGGGATTCCAGGAATACTTCACTGTTGTGCGATACAATAACAGAATCTTGAAAGCCTGCTCAAGTTTCTCTTTGCCCCATCTTATACCAAACAAAATCAAGGTG